ACGGCATAGGATAAAGATAGGGGGGCGGGGGGGGGATCAAGCTTGCCTGGTGGACAGGAGCTGTCAGGGCAAGTCTGGTGACAGACCAGCAGGGCTGGGAAAATGAAAATGCAAACATAATTTCCATGTCAGGATAGATAAGGTCCCCAGCAATGAGATGCAGATGCACACACATGCACAGACATCAAGACAGAAGTGCATGTTGTTACATACACACACAAACATGTACACATCCACGCACACACAGTCCACAGTCCAGAAGGTCAGGGACTAGCTGAAAGCACCTCCTTGGCCCTGGGTCCACAACCCTAGTCCAGAGCCCAGCTTTACAGACGTTACACTCTGTCCATTTTATAAAACCCTAACACAGCTAACTGTGATAGTGGTCACATCACAAAGACACACCATATGTAGTTAATATATAGGGGAAACAACCCAATTTAGTCAAACTCCTCAAAACAACTTCTGAGGTTATGTTTTATCCCAAGTAACATAAGACTGCCTTCATTCAGTTAGCTAATTTGTCTACAGTTTGCCGTTTGTATACATGGGTTTCATCTATTTAATCAAATCGCCAAAGTGCATTAAAATGGCTACTACAATACTGCATCAGTAAAGTCCATAAATCAACACAGAGGTTTAAGCTTATGCCGCGATCAAAGAGGTTTTTGTGTATTTGTTTGATCTAAAGTGCCATCCAAGAAATCAATTATCCAAGTACTTGGGCTAGAAAAGTCTGGTTCAGATGTACAAGAACATGAAGTCATCGAGGATAAAGATGTCTTATCCTCTAAGTCTGGTGGAAAAAACAAAAGAAACGGGGAAAGGAAATACACCAATCCCTGACTGACAAGGCCCAGTGCACTCCTTGACTAAACTCACTTGGCTCAGATGAAGTCAGAGTTAAAAAGGCAAAGAAATCCAAGACAGAGGAGGCTTTCCTGAAATCCTACAGGGGGCTGAGGGAGAAGTGAGATCAGTAACCATGTAATGGCCAGTAATTGGTAGCGAGGGACATCAGAGCAGGCCAAACTACAAGAGGCCAAACCAAACTCATCATGGCACGTGTGACACTAATCTAGGCTGAGTCAGCAGATGGTACGAGAATATAGAGAAGGAAATCAGATCTGTACGTCTGAACCCAAGGCTTTGATAGCTAGGCCTATTGCTGCCATGTCTAATTGACAAAGAATTTAATACTTCCCATCCACTCATAAGGAAAATGGAAAGGAGGGGTATCTTCATGAGCTTTAGTCCTCTTTCCTGTTCCTTACCAAGCCAACAGCACATTTTTGTTGTTCTCAATGTGGCGTTTTATCTCTCCTCTCCTCCTGCCTCCTTTTCCCTCATATATTTTCTTGTCCTCTTCCACCATTTTATTTTTCTCCTATCCTACTATACAGTACGTATGTGTCATAAAGTGTAGACTGCAGGAGAGAAATACTACTTATGTATCACTGTTTCAAACAATCGTGATCAGAAGCTGATCAGAAGATTGAGTCTGTCTGTCCAAATAAATGTGGGCAAATTTGCATATGCTCCTCTAATAACTGCCTAAGAGTCACATTTCAATTGCTCGAGATATTAATAGTTACTTTTCTCAACAAGTGTCATCAGAAAACAAATTTATATATTTTATTATCTCTGCTATTATTATCTCAGTTATAAGGTTTGGCAAGACTGTTAGAAACATGATTTCAGATGTGATTTTCTCTTATCTTTGGGATTCAAGTGAAGGTAAAAACGTTCTCATTAAGGTTAAGTCAAAGGTAAAAAAAAAACAAAAAAAAAAAACATGAAATAAAGGCAAAGTTGCTTTAACTGAAAACTGTATAAACTAAAAACAATGTTAACCTTAGGTTCATAAAGGCATTCAAAGTAAAAATAAAGACATTATTTAACAAACATCATTAAAATGAATGTTCTGTTTTGTTGGATACACAAACATCTTACCTTAAACAGTTAAAAACACATCAACACCAATGCTCCAATAGTGATATTATCATCAGACATCTGCATGACTGATGCAGCATGCGGTAGTCACGCGTCTAACATCTACAGTACTGTACAGGACAGCAGCACCACAGAGCCACACCACCAATTACCCACCACACACATTACACAGATGAAATAAAACTTATAGTGTCAGATGGAAATTATTAATAACTAAAAATAATCAGGAAAATTTAACCAAGATAAAAAAAAGAAGAAAATCAGGACATTTAAAGTAAAAGTTCAGATAGATAAAAATAAATTAAACAAAAATAACAAAATAAAAAAACACTAAATAAAAGTGATAAACACACATAAGCCACAGCAACAAAAACTATGGAGACGGTAAACAGATCACACCACGTAGACAACATTAGATGCACACGTACACATATGGTACCTTTGCGTGGCACAATACACACTTAGCACACACCACAGACATGTAACAGCATGTGTTGGGCGGTGTAACTTACAGGCACGTAAAGTGGTTGCGCAATCATGAACAGAGACAGAGGAAAGTGGGTAGGCCCTCTGAAGGGTGTCCATGTTACTATGTACACTGCCTGACATGCAAGAGCAGTCTTGCTCTGAACTGCCGCAATCAAAACAACATGCCAGTTTCATTCGTTTGTAGATGGACATCTTGGCTACAGTCATGTTTTGGGATGAGAGGAGAGGAAAAGCAGCAGGTTAATGGCAAAAGGAGAAAAATTCATCCATGGGAAGTTGGAATGTAACTTCATCAAAAAAGTGCAAGCCTTAGCCAGCTGCTCCCACAGACTTGAGTCCCAAATTTAATGAATGACCTAGAAACACAGAGATTTATTAAAATTTAAGGAAGGCAATTCATTAAATGATTTTCTTTTTTAATATTATTTTCATGTTAGACAAAGGGTCACTAAAATTTGGACAAGTTGTTGATCCAATAATAATAACAGTATGACATATTTATTTTGACAAACTCTTGAGAGCTCAAGCTGTGTGCTAAGGCTGTAACAGGTCAAAAGGCAAAATTATAACAGTGGGAAAGGAGGGTGAGGAGGAAGGGGAGAAGGAGGAAGGCATTCAGGGGACAGAGGCATGAGCAATGTCTTCAGCAGCAAACCTCATACAACGTTTCATACATTTGTACTTCCTCTATCCATTTGGCTAAAGGAGTGGATCACGTACCTGTATCCCATCATGCAGCTGTAGCGGATCTGTCCAAGGCATCACACTATTTAAATGGCTAGACTAGCTATTTCATGCCATAGTCAAACCTGCAGTTTCACTGCATCACTCCCCAAGGGAAGCTTCACTGTCTGTGTGCATATACAGCACTGTATAATACCTGATTAAGTGCCCTACAGGAATATTTGTAATTTCTTGTTGTCAAAAGTGAGCCTGACTTGGACTGGTATGGCCTGTGGCTTATGCCAGTTAATGGTAGCAAACTTTAAATTAGCTTTAGCTAAATTACTAAGTCATTCTTCTAACTTACTAACATTTTCAGTTATTTGATACATGTATTAAACACATCTAAACATAATGTTTAGGTCAAAGTTTTAATTCTGACTGGTTCAGAAGCACAAACTGAGATTTAACTCATATTCTCCATATGTCTGACTTAAGAATCTGGGCCAAGACTGTTTCTTGATTTAGTGTCCCCATACAATAAATGGGGATAAAAATTGACAGTAGCGAAGTAGTAATAGTTTCTCCATCATTTCAAAATCCTCACTCACTGAACAAAGTACAAGGAATACGCAAAACACAATTACATTTCAACATCTGAATTATCATACATTTTTTGTTTCCCAAATTTCACATATAATGTTGAAACAATAGTCGCTCAAGGGCTCCAGGACAAAATGACATTTATTACTAGCTACCTATAAGTGGACCAGTTACTGTACCTTTAAACACCAATGACATACTGGCTGTTTATCAGTATTTTTTACAAAACTGGACATTTGGAAACTACTGTGGATTCCCTCGTTCAGGTGAGATTGGCTATGAAAGAAGTCTTACACAACATACTGTGTAAGTTCTTAACTACTAGCCAGCCTGAAGCCATAATTGTGTAGAACATCTATTTTCTGTGTATGTGTGTGTGAAGCCCTGAACCCTTGGGGGAAGTGGGAGTGAAAGTCCCCAGAGTAGCATCTCTAGATTGCTCTGGGCAGAGACAGTCCCTGGTCCCCATTCTCTCACTGCCAAGGTGCAAACAGACAGCAGGCTAATACTGTCTGGCACCTTTATAGAGACACTTTTCAGCCTCTTTGACTCTGAGTCACATCAGAAAATAAGATCCTTGAATGAAGCAATATGTTTCACCTTCTGGCCAAGGAAAGAATGGGAAACGCAGATCATAACCCATGGGATGAAAGCATCAGGGACTGGTGTAACCTGTGGCATGCACATATGCCATATAAGCATGTAATCAAGCATGCAGAAAATGTAGTTTTGATCTCAGCAACAAGGAGAGGTACAGCGATAACTGTTCACAGTAATTAAACAGTTTTAAGGGCATGGCAGACAGGTGCAGCAAGGATATTAAGTTCATGCTCAAATTTCTTAACTTCAGAGATTTTGCTTGCGCATTTGGATCACAGTATACATATATTACAATGTAGATTACGGACACATGGAAGGGAAGCAATGGCAAACATATATACAGACACACATACACAGACACACTGACAATGTCTTCGACTTCGGACTTCACAAATTCTCAGATTCTGGCCTAGGATTTAAAGGTGTCCATTTCAGGACATTCCTAATTGAATATTCAACATGATGGCTGCCCTGATAATCTGTCTGCATGGGTGTGATCAGTCACCATCTCCTATAATCAACCAAGGCACAACATACTCAAACAGAAGCTATCAGGGTGCTGAATGTTGAAGGCAAAGGATGTCCCAAAGAGATCACCTTTGCGATATATCCCCCCTCAAAGCTTCCTTATTCAGCAAGTGTGCAAGGAAAATGATACAGCTGGCTCAGGAGATAAACTTTTAAACAATAAAGTGCACAGTATCTTACTGCAATGGATGTGTAACAGAGCGCATAAGACAAATACTTTTTTTCTTTTTTTACAGCCCTCAACAAAACCTACTGCACCATATCACGTAAACAGGAAACCCAAAAGACTAAAACATGGCAAAACAAAATCTGTGTGATGAATTTGTCAAACTGTAAATTCAGTTTGTAATTAAAATTACTACCCAATACAAAGAAATGTGCACATTTGGTCCTTGCATTTTTGCTGAACAGGATTCAGGGGATTTGGGTTTCCTCTACAGACGTCACCATTAAAGTATTGTATTACTGGACATGACTCTGACACAGCACCACCTTCTAGTGGCAATCTAATGCTATGACAATTAATATTGTGCATTGCTAGTGGACTTTTCACCCAGTGCAGTTTAAAAAAAGAGGGTCTAACAACTGTCCAGATTTGAAGAAAAAAAAAACTGGTGCAGTGACATTTGAATTCTGAGAGAAACTGATGCTCTCTGAAACATCAGGCCAAACTGGGCCAGGACCCAGAGTTTAGAAAGGGGCTGAGATCACAGAGACGTGATGTGAAGGGGAGAGCAGATTGTTTTGATTCTGTTTTGGCAACCTTAACTGGTTGAGGGTTTGAAAAGCTTCCCACAACGACATTATTGTTAAACTACTTCCACACACAAAATGCCCTTTAACAGAAAGCACATCAAATTAAATCTCTGTGGTTCTTGTTAATTTCTTCCCCTTTTGTTAGCTCCTCTAAATCTTTGATTACTATACGGCATCTCAGATTTTTATTACATTCCTTTTGTACTTTCTTGGAGTGTGACATTATAAGGGAGTTAATCATGGGTAATGACATATGACTTATGGCAGATCAGCTTCCAAAACCCAGCTTGGATTGATGATCACATTGGATAAAGTCACACTCTACTTAACTGTCATTTCCAGCTAGTCAGAGCTTTAACTGACTGGGCCAATTAGGAGGAGGCCTGATGCTGGTGCGAGTTTGATTTCTGCAGTTTTGGGTTTGTTCTGGTCTGAGCACAGTGTAGAAATGAGAGGTGAGGAGAAGGATGCAGAAGCTACACTGGTACATGCAACATAGATACAGTGTACTTTTTGTTGAAGAGGAAAAACACTTGGACTCTAGGTAATAGGACACCCATTTTCATTTTACTCACAATAAATCACTACCAGTGAGTAGTTAAAATAAAGTGGTGTTTTCCAATGGCAGCAGGGAAGGAAATACATCAAAAGTGTGTCACTGGTCATAAAGAAACATGGGAAAAACAACAGAAGAGAACAAAACATGAGGACAGATTTCCATTGCAGTAATGGAACTGTCATCTTTTTAAATGCAACTCTCTTGTTGGAAACAGTTGTAATGAGATAAAACATAATGCCACGTCCATCACCAGAGTTAGGAGGCATGAAGATATTAAGAACAGGAGTTAAACAGTTTATCTACTGTGAAACTAGAGTGTGAAATGTTGATTTTTTGCAGTTGGCAGAGCAAAGAATTGCCTGAATAATTGAGATGACACAGACAAAAGAAATGAAATGGTGGGTATCTATTATTTTAAAACCAGGTTTTGTCACTAGACCTCCATTGTTCTGCAGAAACTAGTAAATACACACCAGTGAGTCACGCTGCTGCAATGGGTGACGTGGTTCTTCCTCACAAAAAACACGAAGTCTGTCTATATTCAAAAAAGAGCTCAGAAGGCTAAGAACAGCCATTACTTTTTAGGATAATCACCTTTATTAAATAATGTTACATACAAGGAATTTGTGTCCGGTAAAGAACCGAGGCAGCCATCTGCAGCTTTGATGGGTCTCATTTTCTATGAGGAAGACACACATTTCATCCAAATTGTTGGGATAACCAAAAAATAAAAACCATGGGCTTTATCCTTCAAAAATCCTGGTAAAGGTGGCTGGTTTTGATGCTCTCAAAAGTTCTCATTGACATCTTGTATCTAAAAACAAACAATATATAAATATAAATCTTACTATAGATTTTTTTTTCTTGCCTGTATAGCTGTCAAATCAAACTAAAATTTTGACCACTGTAACTTTCTCACAGGTTTTTACGTAAATTTCATTCCCTACATGTTCTCATTTTGTGCAGATAAACCAGTGATTTGATTGTTAAACCAAAAAGAAAATTTGCTCAAAGATGACCACACCTATATTTTGAATAAATAAATAAATCAAAACAAATACTGACTGATGACAACATCACAACGGATGTTAATGATGCTCAAATGGGACCCATATTGTATTAAACAAGGGTATTATGATGTGACAACATGCAGTATATTATTTTTAAAAACACAATGTCATAGTACAGAAGAACAATGACACCTTGATAGGTATGTTATTAGGATACAAACTAGTAAAACCTGAAGTATAATGAGAGAAAGTGACTCACAGGTCTGGGAGAGAGTGGAAGGGAAGAAGTGGTATCAGTGGGGCAAAATAAAGGCACAGCTACTCACGTCGTTTACAGCCACACTTCTTGATCCGCTTAGGGTCTGTGATGTCATCATGACAAGCTTTGCAGTAGAAAAATGCTCTAAAAGTCATCCAGTAAAATTGTTTAGCACTTACAATAATCCATAACTGCGCTTTTACATAATGAGTGACCAGTTGTTCATCATGATGGCCAGGTTACCTCTTTACTTCTTTGGCATCACTGGCAATAAAGAATCCCAGTGTTCCCTCCTGCATCTTGACATGGTTGCCTGGGTTGATGAGGATGCTGAGTAATCAGAGAAATAGACACATCATGCTCATTAACGTCTGGACAACACTCAACTCATTCACATGACATGCTAATCAAGAGGAATGGTACACACACACTTTGATTGTGCCTATCTGGACAGGGTTTTTCATCACTCTCAACACACAATCCCTGGTAAAGGACAGAGTTTGGTTCACTCTGTTGTGTTCTGTGTGTTACCATAAACACACTTGATCCTGTGATTTTGGGCAATTTGTTAATGTGATACTCACATGAATGGACAGAATATACAGTACAGCTCGACTGCAAATTGAATTTTAATTCTTTTCTTTAGATATAGAGGTACAAGTAGACAAAAGCGGAACGAGTTAAAAATACGGCCATGAAGTGGCTTTAGTCTCAGTGCTCAAATACAGTCATCAAGTCAGAACAAATGTTATGATGGCCACAGAGACATGGCTGACGTACAGAGAAAGTGGAGTACTGTAAGTGTTGTTATTTCAGTTAGTACTGACAGTGAGACGCAAGGGAATGAACAGCTCTTTTTCTTGTCCAGACACTAGGCTGATTCTACTCAGTGAGTCTACTACAGTCTATGGGATTGTTCCAGGAAAAATAAAATTGGAGTAAAGCAAAAGGTGCATTAAGTCCCCTAAAAATTAGTAGTGACTCTGCTCTATTAAATTATAGTGTTGCACAATAAGCAACTGGCTGTATCATTCCCCATTAATTAGACTGACACAAAAAGTAGACAACACACACATATATTGTATGCTCACACACCCACACACCCACACACACACACACACACACACACACACACACACACACACTCACACAACCTGGTCATTAATGGTTACCTGTGGGCAACAATCATCAATGGTGTGAGTGTGAACTAAGAAATCAAAACACTGAACCCACAAACCTTCAAGGGACACACTCCTTCAAAATATGAGCCCAGATGAAAGATGATGAATGTTGGATTCTTCTTTTCTCATTTGCAAACGTCATTTGTGACCATTTGTGACTTAGAAACGTCCTTCTTACAAGCCTGATTCAGATCACTGAGAATACTTTTGAGCTATTTCAAAAGCATAAGTTATCTGGGTAGGCTCAGGCCAGAAGTGAAGTACTGTAGCATGTCTAAAAAAAAAACCATCTATCACGCAACATCTTTCCTCTGGGCTCTGGAAAAGGTTACATTGGATAAAATAAAGAAAAAATTAGGGGAGACATTGAATCCATATACATATCAGGTTGTGATCAAATTGCACTAGTCATGCAGATCAGTTTTTCTTTCCAAACTGCAAGAAATAAAATAGCATTTAGCATTCACTGAGATTGAATGGCCCCAGAGAAGTAAACAGGCAATAAGCCTGGCATGCGCTATACTTAAAACAAATGAAAGAAAGAGATCAAATCAAAACAGTTCCACAAACATTGCTGCCCAAATCTGAGATTTTGTGTCAATCCAAGACATTTTCCTTCAGTCAGGTGCAAAGTGATGAATAGAAGCTTTAAAAGCATCGAAACCTCATATTCTGAGCAACAAGGCAAGCATCAAACACCTCATGTGATAGTGTCATAGCATGCAGTTACTAAACAGCATGAAGAGGACAAGAATCAAACAGAAAGGCATAGCCACTGCAGTACAGGTATAGGGACAGGTACGTAGATGCAGACGGTTGCAGTAACTTCTGTGCAGTTGGATTGTTTCTCAAACACCAAACTGACAGGAAGTGACCTCACTTAAGAACATCTACTCGAGAGACGTACGAGCATGACTGAACATGGCGGTTGAGATGCACAAAAAATGAACACACACACACCCATTCACACGGAAACTCTCCCTTTCAAGGTAATCGTACACATATGCAGACACACATACTGTACATGCACAGATGAATACACTTTTAGCACTGAGAACATGAGAGGGTGATGGAATGCAAAATTGAAATGTGGGGCACTTGTGAACATTGTAGCCTATGGTTTGGATCAACTTAATGGCATCCAAATTTGACAGCTCCATGCCTTTCCTAGTGTGTGAAAAGGTGAAAGGAAAACAAAGATTGGTGAAGTTCTGCTGGTGTATTAAAACCATAAAAAAAGACATGCTATAATGTCAGCCACTGCCTAGCAATGGCACATAATCAGCCAAATTATTTCAAGATTAAATAGTATAACAGGTTATCAGTGATTATCAACACCACATTTTAAATAAAAAAAAAAAAAAGTATACCAACGCCTCACTGAGTCCAAAAGAAATCATGAAGTACTGCTCTGGTAATAATTTAAAAACGCCATGAGTGGAATAACTAGCTTGGCAAAGCTAACATATAGTACAGTAACAACTGAGCAACACTGGAAAAAGAACTGAAAGTGAGAGAAATAAACTAAGCAAAGGGCTGGTAAAGGACAAAACTGAAAAGGTCAAATCAGAGGTAGGTATGGAGAGGGTGAGCGTTTGGCCTTAGTACACTGACAACAGCAAAGACAAAGAAACAGCACTTCTACAAACATGTCCAATTTATCTATCCTCTCTCTCTGCCTGCAAAGAAGTTAGTGCATTAAGCACAAGGGACACCATAAAAATGAGTTAGAAAAAGAGGCCTGTGAGATAGCATTTGGAAAAATATCCTTGGGGAAACTCCCAAAGTCAGGAGCTTTAAAGTGATGGAGATTGGGTGGAACTTTGGAAGTAAGATAAGGTAGAGGGCATACCGCTTTCGGCTTCTGCAACAACAAGAAAAAATCTCAAATCAAACAGTTATCATGAACATAAAAGAAGAGGAGAATATGACTGTTACTAAAGTTTCTCAGACTACTTAGTAGGTGTGCCTTACATGGCAGCATGTGGCCTAATTCTGTACAGACACACTAGTTATATCTCATGCTTGTCCAGTGTCGAGGTCCTTGCACTCAGATTGCTAACTAAAAATCTGTTAGATTTTAATGGTAGTTACCTTTTGACAAATGGCACTGAAAATCATGGCAGTACAGTTTCTAGAAAAGAACTGTAGGCGTACAAAAAATTATGCCTTTGTGTGGTGTCATCAAATTCATTATAAAAAGTAAAAAGTATTCTCAAAAAAAGTATTTGCAACAACTTTACTAACTTTAAATAATTAAGTCAAGAATTATCGCAAACAAATTTTAGTGTAGGATGGATTGCACACAATTACACAAATAACTTAGTTAACATTGATTTTAGCTTATATCAAAATGACCATCATTTGCCATGCAACCTCGCCAGTACACAAAAAACATTTGACACAGGTGAATGGGGGAGGGTTGGTGGGATTTGGCAATTGAGACTGCTGAAAAATAGTACTTCATGTTGTTATTGGTGATAAGACTGACACTCACATAGAGTTAGTGGTTATCATACAGACTGAACAGGGACACCATAGAATCAAGTTAAGGAATCACCCAACATGAAATTTGAATGTGCAGAGATATGTGCTTTATGTGTACGTTCTAATTGCGTGTTTGTGTGCTACTGAGTGTCATTAAGTAAGGTGCGATGTGTTTATTGTTTTAGAAAGAATTTTGCCTATTAAGCAAGTGACACAGTAGTTCACCATTACCAGAGTTAATCCTGATGTTACTGGAATAAAAACCAAATATACAAACCTGCTTTCTCTCTGCTCAGACTTGTATTCGATGGCAATAAGTAACAGCTTCAGCTTTACGTAACACAGCCTGTAAAACATGCATACACATTAGAGAAGAGCCAGATATAAGCAGATGCTTGATGTGTTCAGACTCTTCTGAAATACACATTCTTACATCCACACTTTCTTTGTTTTTCTTTACTTTACAGCGGGCTTGCCGAGAGAGGCAAAGTGTGATACTTACTCACAGACAGTGGGGAAGGAGAGGCCAACAAAGGCACTGGACAAATACTCTGTGTACATCTCATTAGCCACTCCTTCCAGGTAATACTTCTGCCATGTGTCCTCCTTGATCTGAAAAAAAAAAAGCACAGAAATGCCTCGTGTATCATGTGAAGGTTAAAAAAGGAAGAAAAAAGCACAGTTTCCCTTCTGAAAGTGTCCCAATGTGGTCTGCAGACGTTCCTCCACACAACATCAGCCTGGTCATTATAAACTGATCCATCATCTTTATGACATGTGAACAGTTCTTTGATTGAGACAAGCACCTCTTCAATTTTGAGCCACAGAAACACTGAACAGATTCTATATGAAATGTCACAGTAAAATATGATGTGCCAGAATGACTGAAAACAATAATGGACAATCTCTGGACAATGATGTCAAACGTTCCCAGGCAACGAGCTGTATTTTTAATAGATGCACTCCATCCATCAGCAGAGATCCTACTGTAAGCACCTCCAGTCTAAGCATAAATCATCTCATTTGCTAAATTGCAATGTGAGAATTTATTTATTCATATTACTGTACTTCAGTCTGTTCGGAAGTAGTCACAGAGATAAGACAAGGCAAGTTAAACCTGTCCTTTGTGTTACCTCAATGAACGACCTCATGGAGAAGAGGTTGGCTAGCATTGTGGACAGGCCCTGGGCCAGACAGCTCTGGGCAATGAAGCCTGCCTTCAGCTCTGCCAGGCAGATAGCATCGTCACCCTCCTTCCAGTTCCAGCTTGGAATGTTCAGCAGATGAGCCTTCATAGCACGACACAAAAGGTCACAAGGTACGGAAAGCAAAACAAATTATTCTTATTTCTTAAAAAAATACTTTGACATTTTGGGAAACACACTTTTTTTTTTTTTTTGCTTTGTGGAAAGCTGGCGTTGAAAGAAGAGCTTTAATGACAGCTGAGAAGATTGATACTACTTTCATGTCGGTATGGTAAAGCTACAGCCAGCAGCTCCTTAGTTAAGCATAAAGAATGGAAAACAGGTGAGAAAGCTAACGTAGCTGTGATAAGTGATAACACCCCTAAAATTCAATTTTATTTATATAGCGCCAAATCACAACAAAGGTCATCTCAGGACACTTTACAGTGAGATCTAGACCTTACTGTTATTAATATTATAGAGGAAAAAACACAACAAATCCCGCTTCAACAAGCATTTGGCGACAGTGGGGAGAAAAAACTCCCTTTAATGGAAGAAACCTCTGACAGACCCTGGTTCTTGGTGGACGGCCTTCTGCCTCGACCGGTTGGAACAACATGCTATATCTTGTTTGTTCAATTCATACAAAAAAAACAAAAGACAAAAACCAGCTGTCAAGAGCACGTGAAATATTCACACACTGTATCATGGAGCACCAGAGTGTGTTACCTTATTGTGATACTGTAGCATTTGTGTGATGATTCTGATCTTAGGATGGTAGTTCTTGATCGAAATGACCCTAGAAAATGAAAAGCAGGCAGGCACATTGAACAACAAACACATGTCTGATCAGTTTCTGCTGATTGCAAAGCACAGAGGATAAAATACCTCATGATGTTGGAGGCATCTTCAGCATCTGGATCTGCACAGTATTTATTGGCTAGGATTAAGCAGGCATCTGCTGACTCAATCTATTTGTAAAGGACCAAAAACACAAAGATATGTTAACATTATTGCATATCTCCATATTTATTAACACAGGCTGAGAAACAGTATGTTTCTTATATAAAATTAAGCAAATTACTGTTTGTAACTAGAGTCAGTACCAACACAGTACAGTACATCATACTAATCATTACTGCCTTTTCTTTTTTTAATTTTGTTTAAGAAACAAAAAAAAAAAGAAAAAACTGATATCCAAATATGTATTGTTTTCCACTGCTTAGAGTCTAGTGATCAACTGTACCTTCACTCGGGCCAAATCATGTGGGTTGAGTACAGATCCCTGGTAGAACTCTACTTGGGTAAAATGGCGTTTGAACAAGGCTTCCAGCTCAAGATTAGGGGAAATACTAGCACACAGAGAAAAGAGGAGACGACTTAGCTCGTGAACAGCTACCTCGCGAATACAGGCGGACTGAGCATTGTTTCAAACATTGCGTTCAGTGCTAACCCACATGTGGTGAGGAAGAAAACATTACTTACTTATGGAGAAAAACAATTTCTACATTGACATCATCCCTGTCCTTGTGTAGGAAGTCTTTGAGGAAGTTGGAGACACTTTCGAGGGTAATATGACCACAGACCACAATATGCCTGGAAGGGAGGAAGATATCATCTTGAGTGGGCAACATAAATCACTGAAGACACTGGCACATCTCCCAAAAATAATCAGTCACACAAAACCACTAACATCTAGCTCAAATACAGACTGAAAAAATATATACATGTCAAGAAATCTTTTCAAAGAAAACAAGTAACTGAGTTATATCTTTTTTGCCATAAAAGTGAATATTTTCCCCCATGTAATGAAAGTGGTTAAATTCTGCACGACAAGTGCAATCAAACACTCAACTCTGAACCACTTTAGAAAATGTAAGATGTAATCACAGAGCCCACAGTGGTTGGACTGTCAGCCGTTCCCAATATAAAAACTGTCCCTTCGGCCAAAACCAGCCCTTTGTGAGCTGAATGGATGTTGACAAAGACATGTACATCAATATGCTTGTGCTTTTATACAGAACGTTACTAAAAACTTTCAAAGTGATTTGGAGGCCTGTGGTTGACACAAATTCTAAACAGGGCCTCAGAGTATTTGACAGGTCTCTGGCAAGATGCAGAAGTGCATTACAGCTAAAGACAGTCAGACAGTGCACAGGGCTGATTGCAGCAGCAAGGAAGCGCAAGGTTAGATTGGAACAATTTTCGAGTTAAGGTTATGTCCCTAGTTGCCCTCTGACTGCACTGTAGCCCAGAGTGATCAGGTTCAGAGGTCACCTTCATAGTTATATCTCCTATGGGATGAGAGTGATTTGGGTAGTTTGAATGGTTATTAAAATCTTAACAGTCTCAATAAAACTTGTGGTGCTTGTAAAGATATTAGGTTTTAGTGTCCCAGAAGTGAGATAAATCATTTCAATCATGTATCAGTATGTAATAAAAATATGTTTTTACAATTTGTATTAAGGTTGTAGGTACAGTAATCTTACTCTTTTAATGTTTTTGTGGCACTGTCACACTTCCTTTAAGGAAGTAGTAGCAGTTGTTACCGAAAATGAAATTAATAGCAGTGTTGACAGTGTAAGTATCAGTATGGTTATGCCTGAGAACTTAGTCACATTAACCTAGTGGATTTAAGATACTCTACAGTATATTCTCCATATACTTCATTTGCACTGTAGTAAGCCGTGCAACCCTTCAGGCGTTAAAGTTGTACGTTACCACAGCCCTTATATTGACATGGATTAGTGTGGACACTCAGCAGACAGACTAAATACCCTATGGAGACCTGTAAGGCAATCTGTGTAATGACAATGCCCTTATCCACTACTTTGCAAGATGTGCCAGGAGACAAGTGAACACTTTAGTTTTGAGTGCCTGGGCACTGGACAGCTTTGCACTTAACACTATGGGTATTAGGTTACTCTTTCCTAAAATAAAAAAAAATAAAAAAAAACAACTGTGGTCAGATTTGTTCACTCTTCAAGTTCTTATCATCAAACTTGATGTATTTTGACAGATTTCCTTCAATCCATTATCATGCTGTTATATACAAGAAGGAAGCTGTGGCAAACACATTAACCTTTAACAGTCTACGTTCAAAACTGTATATAACATAACTGAAATCTGACTCTGTTTGGCAGGTTTAACAGAAACAGAGATACTTATTGAGATTAGATGAGAACCACAGTCCAGATCACTGAGTGTTCTCCTACCGTGTAGCAGATGGACTGGGTAGGGCTGAACTGAAGTGGACTTGGCAAAGTAATATGACAGATATATTGAGAAAATGGCATTTTGTGGATGTTGCAGGACGTAATGTTCTTCACAGATGTCGCCTCTGTCCTTTAAGAGACTCTAATGAGCAGCCGTGATTGCATGGTTGGCCAGCACTGAGCAAAAAGGCTGTGTGCTCTTATAGGCTGATGAGCTGAGATTTTTGTGGACAGCCAGCAATATTTGGCACAAGATGCTTCACATTTCAAGAGACCAAAAAAACATCACTTTTCCCATTTTCAGTATCTAGATGACCTTCTCGAAGGGCAGAATATAAAGATTTATAAGGTGTATAAGGAGCCAACATGAAGTTATAAATCCCATACACAATAAAGCACAAGCAAACTGTGTAAATACATGTACACAGGTAAACCCATGTGCACACGGAGAAACATGGTGGTGGTATCTTTCACTCGGAATAAGTGATTTATCAACAAAGCTGAACTTTTTTCCCTTGTGTATTAAACTTTGTTTTAGTCCCTGATCAAACCACTAATTTGACTCTTTGTTTTTAAGAGAGAAATACTATGGTGGTATTATACTTCACTTAATAGACATCATTAAAGTTGGCCTGCTTGAGTTTTCCTGTTTTTATGTGCCAACTGTAGCATCAGATTCAATGCCAAGATCATTGCCTAGTTAAACAAGACATAGAAAAAGGATATCATAGCTCATTCAACCATTTACATTGGCCTCCAGAACAAAATACCTCCCCTCTGGTCAACCTTATTGTATATTATAGCTTAAACTATGGAACTAACTAAAAAAACAAAAAGTAGAACACTTCAAGGGCACAAATTTTTATGAAAAAAACCACAACAACTGAAAAACTAAAAAAGTGTGGCATACAATGATTAAATGCAAAGGGGTATCACAGAGCATGCACACAAAACATGCAGTCCGGGAAAGTCCCAGGATGCTCTGAATACAAAATGAACCATCAGAGAGCTCAAACATCTGCAACAGAGGTCACTCACTTGGTACTGCTCTAATCCTTAGGCAGGTACAGTATAGTAGTTAGTAGTAATCTTTAGAAACACAATAGTACACAGATTCTTTGTGATTTATGTTTCAACATTATACAAGCACCAGACTGGGTCTGCACACCTCGATTTACTGGCCCTTATAGAGGACCTTCAAAGATGCATGTCAGAATCCAGCCAGGGTTGAAGTCAGTGTTCATGCCAACCCTTCTGTTGACGTTGGGGCTAATGGAAACCATAGAGCCATAATAGGAACCACAGACCCCCCGAGTGCAGTGGGTGGCAGGAGAATACAACACTTATCATTATATCAGTATACAAGGGCTAAGAGCTGTCACTGCACTCATGGGTGTTTGCTACACTGAGCACAGTATAAGCAACACTGGCATGAAAGAGAAATCCAGTATGGATCCACTGTGAATCCCTCTCACTTCCAAATAATCTTCAAGGTCTCTTTCAAATGACAGCAGCCAGGCAGAGAGATGAAACAGCAGTGACGTTTAAAATAGTTCACCATGTATCATGACCTCATTGTTTGTGAGCTCTGTAATCAGTCAGATACTTAATCTCCTAATCTCACTTCCATGCCAAACCTTTTTGTGCTGACAGCAGCTAAATGATAATGTCCTGAACCCTGGGGCAATTCAAAACCCACATGACAACCAGTGTCTATCCGTCTGGTCCCATACTGTAAATGTAAACACCAAACACATACATATCTAAATGACTGTGCAAAGAGCCTGGTGCCACCCTGGGTCTGCATGTATGGTGGGTATTTTTTGATCATTACCACATGTCTGCACTGTATGCATAACCAGAGAGAGATAGGGAAGGGGGTGGGAGGAGAAAATAAAGTGTGTGGGAGAAACTATCCTTGGTTTTGACAAGGGCTTTTCTCAACACCCATCTGTGAGTCTGGGCTGAAGTTACTGGCCAAACATAACATTTAATCAATCTTTTCTCAATGACAGATGAACATTAGCGAACAAAGGCTTTTTTCTGTAGACCCATTCTACTGCTGACTCACTAGAATCCACACTGCTGAACAGAGCGACTGAAACCAATGGAAGCGAGTGGAAAAGAGCAACAGGGTAAGAAAGCAAAGACAGCACAGAGGTAGATACCGAGAACCACTGTTCTGGACACACTATATTTAGGTCAAAATAAATCTGTGCGCTGAATATCAGTAAGGTTTGAGCCATGAGAGGAGAAGAACAGTACTGCACAATAAATGCAGTGGTTAAATGTGCACAAACAGTATAATGACCACAGTGTCACACATAATGCAGCGCACTGGAACCTCTGCTGTGAGAGGCTAATTACACATATACATACATAACAAGACCGCATGGAGACAAACTCCACCACCACACAAATATAAGAACCAGGCAAGCACCAAGAACCAAGCAGGCAAAGCAAGCCAAAAGCATGAGCAAGGCATCCAGCATTCAGGCTGTGGGAGCTGACTGAAGATCAGGGCCATGTCAAGCACTGGTGATGCAATGGGCTAGCAGTGACAGAAAACAGAAAGATGGCTTTTCTCACAGAATCTGTGAACAATGAAAAAGCCATAAGACTGCAGGTCTTTACAGGACATGCCAGAAATGATGCAATTAAAGAAAAGTAATTGCACAAAACATGCCAAACAAACTCAAGCAAAATGAACCAAGAAAAGAAATTGTATCCTGCAGTGGTCATTGAGATTGATTATGCTTATAAAGACCACAAATAATAATGCACTTGCAGATGTTTAAATCTTTCTATTTTCTTGAAGGGGGAAAAATCCTAAAAGTGGATAGTAGGGGTTTCATGACTGTTTTATTTTGATGAATTATTATCATAATTTATCCCTATACTGTAGGTATTAATGAGAGACTTGGTCTGAATAGAATCAGAAATGGGACAACATATCGGCCACCGGTATACTGTATTACAGAGAAGCACCACAGGTTAGTCCACTGTGAGTCTAAAGTGCAGTAGTCATGAAAGCTCTATTTTCCAAACACAGGATGTTTCAATGAGGACAAAGATGGAAAATAAACAGCACAAACAACTTCAGGACAGTAATGGACAGACAGAGGCAGATACAAAAAGGTAGACAGAGAAAGAAGCAGGCAAGAACAGACAGAGAGATACAGTAAGAGAGAGAGTAAAGGGCATGGACATGTGTGACCTAATGGCCAAGGTCTCCAGTCACACGGTGTGACTTGATGTTATAGTGTAATTTTACTGCTCTAAAAAGTCAAGTTAACTAAACCCCAGTAACTATAAAACTTCAGGGGGCGTGCACCTGAGTCACACAACTACACCTTGTCTGGATTTCAACTTACTTTCTGCCCCGTGTCGAGTTATAACTCCCTCCGAATTTCTTCCGATTAAGGATGAGAGCAGCAATTTCTGGCACGTAGCGAGCAAACATGGCCTACATGCATGGAACAGAAAAAAAAAAAAGAAAGGCATGCAGAGAGGGTTCTACCGTGTACAGAAAAACAGCAGACCCATTTGGAATACTTACTTTCTCCCATTAACTGCACTATAGGAACCACCATATTTCTTGCGGTTTCCTATTAATTCTATGATTTCAGGGACGTAGCTGGCAAACATGGCCTAAGGAGAAGATAGAAGACAGATTAAGAGACTAAAAAAAAGAGATTACTATGCCACAGAGTGGGTGGTGGGGAAACCGATGAATCCAGATTTCTGAGGGGAAAAATGTTACTTTGCTCCAGAAATCAAGTTTATATGCCTCTTATTGTCTGCAGAGACTTCCTTAATTCATTAAATCTGCTACAAATATGAGAGGACTTCATATGCCCCCCAAAAATGTTTTGATGTTGAAAAAAAGCCCTATTTTTAAAGGTCAGTTTGTGATATCTCCCCAAACCTTTCTGGATAGCATAAATTTAAATGCTGAGGGAGAATAAAAACCTATGTGCCATGTTTTGTCCAACAAACACAGATGGTCTGGCAGGTTGATTTGAATAGGCCTACCTGATGGTCCACAGCTGCAAAACACATTAAGACTCATTTGGTGGACTGGAAAATGAGCTGGATGCATTTTGCAAAGTTTCACAGCCTGACATCCTACAGTAGGTGAGTGGTGTGTTAAACTTTACCAACTAACAATGTCACAGTCCCTGACAAAGGCTTACATGTAAAACAGAAAAACAAAAAAGTATCCCTGTACTTGTAAATATGTACTGAAATCATGCTTGGAAAGTTAACCTATACATTACCAGGAATAATGGGAAATGATGTGGGTTTGATATCAATTTTTTGGCTTTAAAATATCTCCAGCCTAAAGTCATTATTTAGCTGCTGACAGGAAGCAGCTTGAGGCTTTGGCCTAAAGACTTCCAGAGCTCTCAGCACTGAGAAAAACACGCAACCTATCACCATGGCCACAACAGAGTACACATCCACACAGCTGCAGTTCATTAGTGCATGGTGATAGCTGCCCAAATACAGAATACACTAACTGTTTGGCTTGTTCCTCCATTTTTTGTAAGTGAAGATGAAGGAGGTAGAGTCCAGAGTATGCGCCTGAATGTCTGTGTCTGAGTGCTCCCAGGTGTGTCCACCCATGCACGCTTGTGTGTAAATTAATGTACAAGTGGCAGGACGCTAGATCAGAGGAAGGTGAGAGGGAGTGAGCGGGCGAGGTTACTGTTGCTATGGTAACAGTCAGGCTGGCCTAAGCCTCATCACCCTGCCCCTGTGTTTGTTGAAATTGTGGGAAAAGACACAAGAGGAGGGGTGTCCTGAAACCGCAACTGGTTTTAAGAGAACAGTAACAATACTATCAGACAAAAGTTGATACTCTAAACAAACAAATACAGGAATGACATATAAGAGAAGGGGACAAAGGAGAACATGGTACTCAGACAAGATAGAGCTGGTTAAACAGAAGGATATAACTACACTACAATAAAGAAACAACATTTACCGGTACAGGCAACAAAGTTCTAATATACTGCATTATGCTAAAATATAAAGTATACACAATAAAGCATTAAACATTTTTTAATGTCTATTAATGGGAACAGGCGGGAGTTTGGAGGGGAAAAGGGGAGTAAGGGAGAAAGAAGTCTAATTTTACCAAACCACCGAGGATGAAGAAGACCATAAACAGACGCCCCAAGGTGGTTCTTGCATAGACATCCCCATAGCCCACTGTAGACATAGTCACCATCAGCAAGTAGACACATTCCCAATAGGAAAGTGACTGGGAATTTGAGAAATTTTCCCAAGGATCCCCTGAGTTTTCCACCTAAAAATGAAATAGGTGAGGGATGGATAATTAGACATGGCTATGCCCACCAATTTGTAAACAGACACAATATTATCCAGTCATTTTGTTCAAGCCATAAAGTAGATTCTTTACAGTATACTGATCTTATACTGCCATCTCGTGGTAAAACAATATAATGCATGATGAGTTGTTGAGCAGGGTTAAAAATGCACATTGCATATTACTGTACATATGTATAACTCTCTACACACAATTTTCATTGTTTTTACAGAATTATGGCATTTTGATTTGGATAATCAGACAGCAGATAATGAGAGGAAACATAAGGAGTGGGGTTCCTGGCCAGGCTGGAACTGGGTAAATCACATTGGATGTTACATTTTATATTGTTAACTAGACAGCACTCAGAGAGGGCAAACCTCTGCCAAGGCAGCTCACTGTTCCCATATTGCCATTACACCTAAAAACAATATTCCCATGATAGTTTGACCCTTATAATATGATTATGACCATGAAAACCTAGCATTTAGCATGTATTGACCGATTGAATCATAGTTTCAGATAGAATTTGATCTTAGTAGCAAGTCTGTAGCATTATTTGTTGAATAGCAAGTTTTTCATGAGCCCTATAAATGTGAACATTCTGGATCAGTAGATCTGGAATATTACTTGAAACAACCACCACCATGTGGTTTATATGTTTCCCCTTCTATATTAGTCTCATACTTTTATACACTCCTTTACTTTGTGTGCTGTGATTTTGGTAATCATTGCTGTCGCTACTGGACACTTGGAATTTCCCTTGGAATCAATAAAGTATCTATCTACAGTAACTAAAGATTTTAAATTTAGGGAAAATTAAGCACTGGCATCAGATCAGTACTTGGGATTAGAAGATACTATCAAGCGAGTTGTAGTGAAAGAGTAGTGAGAGATAAAAAAGCTGGATTGGTGGAACAGATGTCTTTACAGTATCCTATCTACCAATTCATTCTTTACAATTAAAAGCACCGGGTGTCACAATATTCACTTTACCCGCCACCTTTGTTATAGACCCATTAATCTCTAAATCCCACTGGCCTTCACATTTAACCACTTACCAAATGTATGAATCCAGCAGCTGTGAGCCATGTGCTTATGAAGATGGAACACAAGTTCACCAGCTTAATGGAATTGCTGGGTGGAAGAAGAACAACAATAAAACAGAGACATTCAGATCACAATGACAGAAAGCCTGAGATTTATGAGATCATGAAATAACAGTATGATCTAGTCTGAAGTGACTCACTATAACTTTTATAGTTGGAGTGGTTGATAATGCAAATGCTTAACCTTTGCTATCTTATTGTGGTTTATGTCTGTGTACAGTTATGCAAGTTGAGTATAGTGTTTATATGCAATGTGAAAATATATTTTACATCATACCGTGACATGCATCATTATTAACTTAAACATACAAGTATGATACCCCATAAAATGTGATTAAGAAATTCAGTTTAATATAAAATTAAGCAGTTGCTGCTGTTCCACACATCATGTGTTCTGGCAATGTCACATTATACAGAGAACTTGAAATCAACTGTTCCTGCAGTTTCTGGACCAAATTCAAACCAGCCTCATTGTTAGACATACAGGTGTGTAGCTACTGGGCTGAAGGTAACAGTGAAGATGCTACTGTAGTGTTTTCTGTGAATGAAGACACACGTACCTTGTTTTTAAGATGTTCAAAAACTGCAAGATTTCTGAGAATTGTATCAATCTTAGTGCTCTCAGGAATCTCAAACCTGTGGGAACAGAAAAAGACATTGATGGAGGGAGGGATAAGCATTTAAGTACAAACCAAACAATTGATGGTAGCCTCACACTGGCTTTATATGCATGTGCTTATTCCTAAGTTAGGAGAAATACAAGGGGGGCAGCTGAGTGCAGACAACATGTATGAGCAATTCAGTCAGATAGTATGGTGCAAATATTTATCCATCCTTCCACTTTCTTCCACTTATCCGGGACCGGGTCGTGGGGGCAGCAGTCTAAGCAGAGATGCCCAGACTTCCCTCTCTCCAGACACTTCCTCCAGCTCCTCCAGGGGAATGCCAAGGCGTTCCCAGGCCAGCCGAGAGACATAGTCCCTCCAGCGTGTCCTGGGTCTTCCCCAGGGCCTCCTCCCGTTGGGACATACCTGGAACACCTCCCTAGGAAGGCGCCCAGGAGGCATCCGAAACAGATGCCCAAGCCCTCAGATACCTCAGCTGGCTCCTCTCAATGTGGAGGAGCAGCGGTTCTACTCTGAGCTCCTCCCGAGTGACCGAGCTCCTCACCCTATCTCTAAGGGTGCGCCTGGCCACCCTGCGGAGAAAGCTTATTTCGGCCGCCTGTATCCGGGATCTTGCCCTTTCGGTCATGACCCAAAGCTCATGACCATATTTATGGTAAATGGAACATATTTGTCTACATCATTTCTATCTACATTATCTACATCATTTAAGCATATTTAACACAGCACATCACCATACAATGCAGAATTCAGTCAGACAAGATGATGATGTAAAATACAAGACGGTTTATTTTAGATGATGTGTTGGAATTATGTCTGCATTTAAACAGGTTAGCAGAAACACTATGTAGCCCACTTTACATGAGCCTCTGTCTGAATACAGGAGCAGCTTGCTTAGGGATTAAAGAACAATGCAACACCTGCAACATAGTTGTTTTTTTTTAATAATACAACTGATCCCATAGAACGAGTGTTTGCTCATGTCTCTGCCTTGTATGTCAGTTTATGACAAAAAGTGATATGAAATGAGATGATCTCTGCAATCAGTTTACTACCTGCAAATATAAGACAATGGCTATATGAAAACCGAATCCCACAAAACTGTAATTAATCTGTCCGTTCCTCTTACTAAATAAACTAAGCACATGTCCAGGTAATGCATTTGTATACGCCACACTAGCACTGATGCTCTTACTCCAGTTGGAGGAGATGCGTAAACAGGACCGGAGTGAATGGTAAAGTCCAGTCTGCCTTCCCTTCTCCACGTGTTCACGATGGACTTGCCTCACCCGATACCCATGCTGAAAAAGATCACCACCGGACTTCTTTCGCCTGTGTGGCTCTTGGGATACCTTCAAATTGGCATCACAGTTTGTACGGCGGTATGTAAAAAACTTGGAACTTAAAATCATTGTTTTAGACAAAATCCCATCTAAGGAATTCCTTTCACTTCTGGCCAAGATGGAAATTAAAAAATTGTGATCCAAAAGATTTAGGGCCCAAAGGGACCCCTGGAAAAAAGACAACAGAACATCTCTAGTAACATCTCTTCATGAAGCAAACACCCCCAAATACTGATAAATAAATGTTGACTGCTGCACGCAGGCAAAATAAAACAGACAAAACTATAATGATTGTCCAATCATGTCAGTCCTGCCAGGAAACATGTCTCTGTATCCAAGATGTCAGCTCTAATGTAGGCGTTTTTTGTTTTCCATTTATGTTACAGTGCCTTTAATCCCCACAACCCAAATAAATTTACCTTTATAATGTCCCTTTAATGTTTTGCTCTTAACCCTTCTTAAACTCTGTCCCCATCAGCACACAGCTGTGCATTTTCACAAAAAAAAAGTCTTAACCTGCCAAGGATTAGCAGAGATGAAAATAATGGCAAACGAAAACAGTAATCCTCACTTAAAAACAAGTATCCCATTTCCACTGCAAAATTTCAAACAACTCCATCTGAAATGGAAAAACATCCGTCAGTTCAGGGATCCACTCTTCAGTATAAACCTAAGAATTAGACTTTCTGAAACAGACATTGCAACAGTCACTTCATGCACACTCTGGTCAAATGTATGGAGCAAATAGGCCTCTAGGTTAACAGGGACTTCCAACACTACTACTGTACATGTACAGCAAGTCGATTAATAATAACTGCCACGAATTGTGGGATGACAATGTACATAAACTAAAATATTGTAATTAAATTCATACAATTTTGAGGTGCTTTTTACATTTATATATTGCTAATTTTACCAAGAAAGTGATGACAACTGCTTTTGTTATAGGAATGCAGACATCCCAGCTCTCACAGAAATTCTGGGAGTCTCCCGCATATTGGTAGTAGCTCCCTGACATGAAATTGTGTACAATATCACAGAATTTTTTTTTTTTTTTTAAATCAAGCAAGAAAACAATGGAGAGGGGCAGTGAATGAGAGAGGGAGAGCAAGCACCCCGACTGGTCTCTCTTTGTGCTAACTGAACCCATCACTTCTTTGTGGGCAGGCTTTACACTAAACCTCTGTCCATCAGTTCAGTTGTGTAGCATGCAGCATCGTGGCAGGATCTTCAAAAACGCATATCACACACTTCACCCCACAGTAAACTTTACATGCATAATAGCAGTAAAAAAAATATTTGTACATAATTCCTTTCTTAGCATTTGATAACTAACATTATTTAAGCTTGCTGGCTAATTTCTCTGTATTGATGTGATTAAAATTCCTGTATAAGCTAAAGTTCTGCTATAAAGTTTAATAATAGAATATATAAATGTGGACTTTCTGAAGTTCTCGTTTGTTTACACAGGGGGATGTCTGGGAGCGTAATGATTATAATATATCAGCTGGCCTTTTGAACACGTGTTCTTGTATGAGAAAATCTCTTTCCTCACACATGCCAAAGCCTCTTTGCACACACAACCATCACAACCACGTGTCAGCTGGCTAGATGCTCATTCGGAAAGGTTTTCTGGTCTGTGCCCATTCTTAATTCACTGAGACTTCGCAAGCCACAGCACAGCCTCTGTGTCACATGTTCTGGCAGAGAAGCCAACTGGAACCTTTTATCAATCAGTAGTCTGTCTGTTTTAACCCAAATGAACCACCCCTGTCAACCCACCCTGGATTAGATTATATGATGCCACACTTTCCTGAACACACACACACACATGCTGGTATACAAAGGAGTGGTTCTTACTGATCATTCAGTCTGGATAGATGCCATAGCCAAATTATATTCATAAGCACATGGCTCACAGCTGCTGGATTCATACACATTTTTCTCTAGTAATTATATCTCAACTCACTGCCTCACAATAATGCATACATGCAATGCAATGCAACATGTGAGAAGCCTGACTACAGCGATGAAGCTTAATCTTCTCACAAATTAGTCTGAATGTACACAGAGGCTTTCTGGCAGTGACCGAAGGGCCATATAAAGCAGAGCACGTCAGGTACTGTAGGCCTCTTTGAGCATGAAACACGAGAGATCAGCCACATTCGATGGGATCAACAAACATTAAACTAAATCACCATTAGGAGGCAGTGGTGGGCTAGAATCAAAACCATGGCTGAAGGCTACCCTTGAACTGTACATTCTCAAAGCCACTGCCTTTAGGTTGCTACCAAACAAAAACAAAAACAAAGACAACACTTTAGGCTGTAAATTTATCTTTAGATAAGCACAAAACGTTATTCTGAATAATCTTTATGTTCCTCAAATTACCCAAAACTAACACTGCAGCTCCCTGTGGTTTTTAATGATTATGGAGAAAAGCGAGACATTCACTGGCAGGATCTTGAGAGCCGGAGCTCAGCAGCTTTCAAACAGCCATATGCTAATCCTACACAGCTAGGACTCATAGGAAGAAATGCTCAGATCTAGTGGTTAAATCGTCGTTCTCCTCCTCTTAATCAGCATCCAATTTACAGAGGCGGAGAACACATAACTTGAATTGCATACAGCATACACTTCTTTGGGTGAAGTCTGGGTGAATATGCTATCACACTTCACAGGACAGAACCCCTATTAGTGGTCTTTTTATTATCTGAGCACACATCCACTGGATTACCAATGGTCTTCTTCTGCAGGACCACAGCTGAAATGAGATGTACTGTAACTATGATGTATTATGCTGGCTGTGGTTTGCATTACCCACCAGTCCACTGGAGATGAAGTGCAGAATACAAATTCATGGCAACCACTCTGGCTTCCTCTAACAAAGCCTGTTAAGGGCCAGTATGCAGAAATGAATGTGTCACCAATTATGGATAAGTCTTTGAATTATCTGATAAACCATTATGGCCTTGTCAAGCTTCCTAATGGAAGTGAATGAAGATACAGTATGTACTGTACATAGTAAGGAGTCAAATGCCTTTATGTGTCTACTGAAAAGCAATGAATGTCAGAGGATGCCACCTGATAGCAGATCAGGATAAAGCATCTTTCTGTTATTTTACTAGGCCTGTATACTGATTACCTGTGCTTATTTTCCTGTCACAACATGGCCCAGTACATCTTAATTTCCATATCAGTGCAGGATATAAGCAGCTAATTATGATTCCTGTCCTACATCCTCACGGCCTGAATATTAACTGACACTTCCAGTGCCCATTAGTATTCTGAAATCCGTCGCCAGCCTGTTAGAGTGCAAACAAGCTACTGCAGATCTAGACACTGTTCATTTTATACCTGAAGCTTTGCAACAATTTATATCGTTCTTTACCACATGGCCAAGCACACCATCAGTAACCACAGACTTAAGTCATGCCAGTGGGGTGTGTTACCATACTGTGCCATATGTATATGTCCAACACTGCAATATTAAACACAGTCTTATGTTTGAAGGAGACACCACCAAATATGTCATCCTTGCATAAACAGTCAAGGTTCTTCTTTTCTCAAAATAATAGTATTAAAAAAGAAATGCAAATGAACAGCACAGGAATCTGGGGCATCTCTCAAAGACAAATTCACATTTTTAGCTGTTGTTTATACAACAACACACACTGCAGCTTTACTGAATATAAGCTACATCTCTGCTTTCGACAGTACATCAACCCCAGATGTAGGATATTAAATAATCACAGGTAATTGCTCAATGCAGAATGCCAGGCAGAAGACAGGCCACTATTTCACAGCCTTTCATCATCCTCATCTATGCCCTAATGCCATCGGCTTTCTCCAGATCCGATGAGGACACCTTATTTCATGAATACTAGAAACCACATTACCTTCCTTGGCCAAGTTCTCTGTGAGATGCTTAAGAAACCCTTTTCAGACTTTTACACCTTTATTTTTCTTCACACATTTAACGATTCAGCTAAGCATGTAAAAACTGGAACATACATTTTTTATGATAGAAGGAAAGGTCCTTCCACACCCGTGAATCTCTCACAGGGAAATCCTCACGTGAGAAGCTAAAACCAGTAAATATTTTACATATTTGCGCAGATAAATACCTGAAATGATGAATCAATTATTACTGATTAATTCTCAGAAGAGAAACAATTCTAATAGACTGTAGCTCTAAACCCATGTTTGATCTTTAATTTGAAATTATAATTGAAATAAGAACAGAATAAATGTTGGCAATAATCTCTCACTGCCCAAAAAACTGTGCGTGCCTACAATGATAGTAAACAAAGTAGGTCAGATTTGAACTAAGAAGTCTGTGTGTGTGTGTGTGTGTTCAACAGACAAATGCCTTTGTTTCACCTTGCAGTTAAGTTTCACTAACATGGGGGTCGATGGCCGCTCAGGTCCAGCTCTCTGAAAGTTATTTCTAGTTAAGGCCTTTGTCACATTTGACATTTTGACTTGTCATAATGCAAAAACTATGGGTGAAGAAGAAACCATTAACAATGGCTAAGTACACCATGACAGTGTGACAGTGAGCCATCGTGAATAATACAAGCACCCTGAAACTGAAGCAGCTGAATGAAATTCAGTCATCATTACATGTATTATTAACATGTTAGAATGTTCTCTGTGAAAAAGGCCTATTACAACAGGAGTGACTGGCCAAAACTGCAAAAATAAGACACGTGATGTAAGAAAAGAAAAAAACGAATTATGATTTTCCTTTAAATGTAATTTAATATGTGCCGTTTTTGACGGTAGATGTTAATGTGAGTGTTTAGCTTCACAGCTAAATTGCTGTAAATCATATTGCTGTACACTGCCAGTTCTTTTTTCGAAGGCATTTTACTTTGCCTTGAGAACATCAACTCCTAAAACATAATAATCTCACATTCTAATCTAACAGTTTCATGGTCCGACATCATGCTTAGATAAATGCTGGATTAGCATCATGTTGAGTTTATGAAACCAAGTATGCAAACATTGTATAGTATTGTATATGGTTTTAAAAGTAGAGAGGCAGTGAGAATACAAAGAAATCCCTGTCACTGGAGAGTAATGCTCCCTGAGAAAAGTAGGTCACTATATAATGCAGGTTAGGGTGTTTTCCAGTCTGCTCAGGCAAGAGTGTGTGTGTGCGCGTGTGAATATGGGGATAACACATGCCTTGCTGTGTGCATTTTTTGTGTGAGTGTGAATGAGCCCATTAGATGGCAGTTATTGACCACGGTGAGGTATTCCAGGTGCACCGCCTCAACACAGCAATTACTGTACCAATGAGTCTGAAGTACACACACACACACACAGGACCGCAGTCCGTTTGAGTCACTCTCACTCTCATTAGTTCTTCCACTCTGCTGTGTCTGTGTTCCCTGAAACATCAGAGTAACCCAGTCCTGTCACTTTCAATGATGAGGGAAAGTTGACTGTAGCCCTGAACAAAAGGGCCTTGGAGACACACTTCCAGTAATGGAGAGAAGAAGGGGGCACTGAGAGGCAAGATGGAGGGACAGGGAGTGATAAAAGGATGGGTGGCATGTAGATATAAGGCAAGAAGAGTGGTAGGATGGTGGAGTCAAATAAATAGGACAAATGGGGACAGAGAGCAAGAAGAGACCAGGCTTCACATTGCAAGCAAAATAATGGATTTATGTAACCAATACAGAAAGCAATATAGAAAAACTGATGAGTACAATATAGGAACTTACCGAGCCAACTTCTGTTTAAGTAGACAGAAACAAACACAGGAGGCACAGTGAAGAAGTCGACCACCGAGTTCACCTCCAACCAGAACCACAGCTTATCATTGGCTGCTATAAACTGTCAAACAAACGGAGATGGCATTCAAAATGACAATTACATTTTTATTTCAACCAAAACACAACCACTCCGCCACAGCCCACCATTCAAACCGCATGCTGCATCTTCCTCTAGCATCACTAACGCGCTGTATATGATGACAAAAACAGCCCACTAGCTGAGTCATTGGATTGGCTGGTGGTGTAAGCAGCTTATGAGTTTATTTATTCATTCATTCAGGATATCAGGCTTGCATTTACACAACTAGAACACTGCTCTGGAATGAAAGCCATGCTAGCAACATTATAACAGTGTCAGTTTAAACTAAATGCATGATATGTGAGTATATGTAGGTGACTTAAGTTGTGTGTCTGCTTGTGTGTAAGCATAGCTAGTTTCCCGGCAAAACACTGTGTGCCTGTGTGTTTAACAGCATAACTGTAACTGTTTCCAGAGGTCGTAGCAACTTCTCTGCCAGACTTGTTAATAAAGGATTCAGACTCAAACTCTTTGCATTATTATCTCATTTTATTGATGCTAAAGCATGGCACAACGCATCACCTATGATACTTCCCTGAGTACATTTGCAGTTGTTACTGTGTGAGTTTATGCATGTGTGAGCATGTATGCACATGTGCCAGCTTACCCGCAGGCCAAAGTAAAGAAGGAAGAAGACATTGAAGGCCATATCGATCTGTAATGTGAAATCTTTGTAGAAGTTCTGGCAGGATTCTATAGGACTGGAGAAGAGAGATATGGAAACAAACAGGGAGAAAACACATTATTAAAAGAAGCTGATAACCATCAAGGTCCGATTTGGAAAAAAAAAAAATCAGATTTTGTTTGTTCACACATCTGTGCAAAGATCAGATCTGAGTCACTTGGAGGGAAAAACAATTAATCAGGTCTGAATCACTTCAGCAGGTAATGTGAACAAAGATTTAGTGATTTTCCACCGAGTTTTACAGATGCACCTCGCTGACTCCTCGTTTGAGCCCTAAGGGAATACAGACCAAGATGAGAGACAATCGCCTGTACATGAAACAACTGAAGAATAAACTGAAATTGGTAGTTACGAACAGTTACTTTCATAAGACAGAACATTCAGCATGTACTAATTATTCAGCACCTGTCAAACACAAATATTCCGGACGATATTGCCTCATATGACATTAACTGCACACTGAGAAAAAGACTGCCTAGCTCTCTCCACTTCATAGCACCATAGCTAGCTGGGTGAGGCTTAGGTCTGGGTGAGGTCTGTCATATAATTCATCTTCATGTTTATCTTGATGATGAACCATTAGCAAGTGGGTGCTCTGAACAAAAGCAATAACAAGGAGTGTGCCCGCCCCATCTTTCAATTTGTCATGGGCCTATAGAATTTTACTTCACACTAATGAGGAAATCTCACTGTGAGAAAAAACATGAATTTGCATGAATGTTTGTCTGGATATAGGCAATCTTTTCGAACGTATATTCTGGCTAGGGAATGTACACAAGGCCATTAAAGAAGTACAAAATTACAGCACAATCCCACATGTTGAAATGAAACACTGCAGTATACTTGAGTATCTGTGAGATGCAGATTAGAGTTTACTGCATAATGAGAACCTCCAGAGATGTGAGGCTTAATTAAATCTTCTACTTAACATCAAACATTCACGATTACCCATTATAATGGACGACTTAGTACAGACATGGCAGACATGACATATTGCTCTAAGAGGATGACCAACTTCTAATTCATGAGTGTGCGGGCTGTCTCGGGCATATCCTAAGGACTGATGTGATCTTTAAGATGATGTAAAACCCTGGCCCTGTCCAAGAGGATTAGAATGGGTATGGCTTATGCAGCAATTGTTTTAAAACAGTGACTTTATTTGTCTGAAAGGCATTTTCTCATGCAGTGCCATCAATCTTTGGACAAGCTGATTCACTCCTGACCCCTAGGAGGAGTTAACACTGATCTGGCCTAAATAGCCTACTAAATTATTTACTCGCCACCAGCACCTCCACATAATTCTGGAGAAGTCAAACTAAACAAGTGAGCTAAAACAAACTTATCATTAATGATACATACAGGCTATGCATGCGTAACTTTCCTTTGGTGATTAAATGTCTTTTTGCTCTCAGTGTAGCCTCCAGGTTGAGACACCCATGCACATACATGTAGGGATATATTAATACGCTTCAAAGTACATGTGAACACACAGGCACAGATGGGGGACACCATTTGGAGTGGCCACTGTGGCATTTCCCCTTGGGCCCAGCTCTGGCCTAATTTTGAATAACTGTTCATCTACTGTCGTGTGACTCAAAGCATTCTCAATAACAGAGCGAGGAGGGCGGCACACAGTAGGGGCTGTGTGGTACACCAAGTTTGTCTTGATTTCACATTATACAATAACACAATAGCTACATTCTGAGATCTTTAATTTAGTCATTTTTCTCATCATCAATAGATAGTAAAGCTTATCATTAGCTAAAGTACTAGGGAGACACATCAGACACCTACAGTTTCTCTCTTGGGCTCAGAAGCACAATAGGAAGTTCATCAGTCTGTATCTCTCCACATGTGGAGCTGCTGGATGTGTTTCAAACACAAAAATGGTAAAAAAGTAAAAATGAAGTTGTAAAACCTAGTTAAAACAACAAAAACTATGGCCTAAAATAGCTATCAGTCCAGATCCCTGGGAATTGGCTTCATATTGGAAGATTATATAGCACATGTCCAGTGCCAACACTGACCATCGGCGTGATGCGCCGGGGCGTGGTACAGGCAACCTTCATGTCCAGACTTTGTGTCTAATGTCTGACCGCTAATCACCTCACTGGTAGAGTCTGAGCAAAAACAAAGCATTATAAGCTTCTTTAATAAGTTAAATATTATAGAGCTATTGTATTGAATTTAATTATACTATAAAGAGATTTCTGTTATTGAGTCCCACTATCTGTATCTCTTTCTTAAACAAAAAAAGCCACATAAGATGAGACCCAATCTTAATTCCTGCGTTCAATGACACTCTACAGTCATAATAGATTCCTTGCCACATGGTGCCAGTGTCTGTCCACCATGGTTCTTATTACTTCTTAAGCACTGGCACAGCCTGGAGTTGCACCATCCTGCCTGACAGGAAAAGGAGAAATGAGAGAAATGAAGAGAGAGGTGAGAAATAGAAAGAAAGACAGCTGTAAAACATGGAGATGAAAGAAAGGTAGTAGTAACAGCAAGTACGTACGAGAAGAAAATGTGAATGTGTCAGAGTGAAAAGGGAGGGGGATGTCTCAGAGCTGAGAGGAGGAAAGAAAAAAACTGAACTGGAACAAACACAAGGTGCATGTATATATAGATACACACACACACACACACACACACACACACACACACACACACACACAGTATATATACATATATATATATGGAAATTGCCTGGAGATTCCAGAGTTTCAGAGACAAACGTCACTCTTCTTATGTTTGATTGGTGATTACCTGGATGACCCTAGTCCTACTCTAACCACACTCTGATTATTAGCTAAACTAGCACTAACAAACACATGTGCACACTTGCATGCACACACATGCACAGGAGACAAGTGATTGCCTGAGGAAAGCCTACATATTATGTATGTCTATTTCAGGACATAAAACACTTCCTCCTCTGACCAGGAACTCAGCCGCTGGAAAACACAGCCAGAGAGATAAAACACATTTGTTCACAAGGGCAAAGTAGTATGATGGTGATAACTATGCAGTGCCACTGGCTTGAGTAATGCTCCCAACTATAGTGCAACACACCAAATCAGAGTCATTCTTCACATCTGAAACGTCTTACTGCTCTAGTAAACTCATATGCATTACAGTAAGGTTGTTATTCTTGTCAGCACTAATGACTCCCGACTTCGCCAGTCGGAGGTCACTAAAATTAATGTTGAGTCGATGTGTAACTTTGCTAAAACAATGTCGGACTCCGTAGTTTTCTCTGGGCCCCTACCCAATGTGACCAGTGATGACATGTTTAGCCGCATGTC